TTGAACACGGGTCCTTGTGCTTGCCAGGCAAGCGCTTATTCTACTGAGCCATCTCCCTAGCCCCTCCTTTCTCATTTCTTACCTTCACTAGCCTTTACCCACTTTGGGCTTCTTAAGGTTCCTGCATTGTATTGAGCACTCTCTTTGCTTGAGAACTCTGCTAATGTTTTCTCTGCCTGGGTCTTTTCTCTGTACAGTCCTTTCCCCTGGCTGCTTTCTTCCGGTTCTTTAGGTGGTAATTTAAGTAACACTTCCTTAGCAGAAATTTCAGGGGCCTCCCAGTCTAAAGTGGATCTGTTTTTGTCTCACAGTGCCATGTTTCTTCCAATTTACAGAGTTTGTAATTATGTATGTGTGCATTGCTGTGTTCCATGAACATCTTTTCCAACTGGCTCATTGTAGATGTACATTAAATATTTGGCAGAGGGACTGATGAAAGTCCCGTGGATTCTACTGGGTTCTTTTATAGCCATCTCTATAACTGCACTGATTGGTTGTGGTTATGGTTGTTAGATTGTGGCGTACCCTGAAGTGCTTCCTCAGAAGATAGCCTCACCCGGAGCGGTGCAGGAGGCCTTTGGTCACCAGTTCCTGTCCGTGGACACCCATCCTGAACAAGAGCCACAGAAGCCTCATCTTCTGGAGGAAAATGGTGAGGTGCAGTGGTGGTTCAGCGTAATAGATGTGGCTACAGCTAGGTGCCCTGGCCCTTGGGCAGGCAGTATCTGGACCAGAGAGAAGGGAGGCTGGGCAGCCTGTCTGAAAGCAGCAGGCTTGGGAATTCAGGAAGGGTTGAAATCTGGGGTGTACTTGCTAGTGTTAAAATAGAGGGCAGTTTCTAGGGTGGGTGGAACTGTAGCACACCTGTATTCAAAAGATGTAATGGATCTGGGTGTGATGACACACACCTGTGATCCCACCACTTGGTAGGCTGAGGCAGGATCATCGCAAGTTTAAGACCAGCCTGGGCTAAAAAATGAACTCAAGGCCATCCTAAACTATATAGCAGAACTCTGTGTGAAAAAGACAAACAAAACAAAAAAAACCCAAACTAAAAAACTACACACACATACAATATAAAAGCCTTAGTAGAAGCTGGGCGTGTAGCTCAGTGGTACATAGGATCTGCAAGGCTCTTGATTCAGTCACCAGCACCAAGAAATAAAAAAGGCAAACAATAAAGCCAATGATTAAAACGACAGACTGAAGTACAGGTGTTATTCAGAGATCTATAGAAGTCTCTTACACATCTTCCACAGTTGTTTTACAGAACAGGCATGGTAATGTATGCCTGTAATCCCAGTACTCAAGAGGCTGAGGCAGGAGGATTACCCAGTTTGAGGCCATACTGGGCTGCTCAGTGAGTTCAAGGCCATCCTGAACTGCATAGCAAGACCCTGGCTCAAGAAAACGAAATTAAAGATCAAAGACATTTGTTTTGCAGCAGTTCTTCACCTCCATCTCATAAATTTTATTGTCTTGGTGATTATGTTTAAAAAAGGTCCTCTAGTTCTTAATTGCATTTATTTCTTTTTTTTTT